GCAGAACTCAGCCTGTGTGCCCTGCCTCTTCCCTGAACCTTCTTTTCCCCTGACTTCCCTGTCTCTCTGCTCAGGACACTGCCATCCAATCAGGCCCCAGTCCTGTGACCCTGATCCCTTGTGATGCCTCTGAAATGTGTCCCCTCCTCCCCACCCTGCTGCCATCCCTATACCTGTCCCCTCTGCATGTCTCTGCACACCAGGCCTGCCTGGCCCTCTGTCCACCTGCTGCCAGAGGCCTCTTTCCACAGGCGTCTCTGATTGTCACTGTTTTGCTTTCCCTGTTCCCCCTTGCCCTCACACACTTGACATTTAAGTTTTGTCACAATTGGTCTCTAAATTTCTTAATCCAGTGCATTGTGACTTTGCCAGCTTTCATGTCTTTTCCTCCAGTGGCAGCAGCTCCTAGCAGCCATCTTATATGTCACCCCTGACACATTCTGGCCTGAGTGGCCCCTTCCCCCTGGGCTCCCCCTGCACCATTTGGATCACTGGGCCTCCATTATGTGTCATTGTTTCCTTTGTCTTGGTTTCCTCCTCCTTCTCTCTGCCACAGCCTGCCACCAACTAAGGCCTGCTATCTTATTCATTGACTTCTGACCTTCAATTCCCTAAGTCCTGATTAAATTGTAGAACCCTGACTTGTAGTCTTGGCTCATTTACTTCCTTACCTCAAATCATGTCTTGGTCCTCCAAGGCCTAAGCCTTCAGGCATATGACATGGAGACAATCCACATTGTTGGGTAGGGGGCACAGGAGGGGGACAGTGGGGCTGGGATGTAGGGAATTCTCCCTGGAAAACAAACCAATGACCTCCCAACACAGCCAGGCCCTGTGCCCAGTCCACTGGGCCAGGGTAAGGGCACGGGGCCTTCACACACCTCCTGGGCCCTGCCCAGACCTCAGTGCTGGAAGGTCAGACACGGGTGGCACAAATCTGCCTTTGGGGGTCTGGTCACGGTGTTGGGATCTCTCTACTTTATCCTCTTGGGCTTTGGGAAAACACCAGACATTAAACTGTAACTGCATAAATAACAATAACAACAATACCCAACCCATGGAGCACTTCTCATGGCCCAGGCTCTGTTCTCATGGGTGAATTCATTTCCTCCTTGCAATAACACCAGGAGGCCGGTAGCATTTTCCCTCTATTTTACCATATGAGGAGGCTGAGACTCAGAAGGGCTAAGGAACTTGCCCAAGGTCACACAGCCAATAAATAGCTGAGCCAGGATTTGAACCCAGACCCGTGGTCCAGGCTAGCTCATTAAAAGATACAGACAAGCAATGGAACGAGAGATGGAGAGGTAACAGGAGATCAGGCTGCCACTGCTAGGACACCCGCATGGAAGGCTGTTTAGAAGGCGGATGGCGCATGAATGGAAAAGGCCATGAGAGCCACACATGGGAGACCCGAGGAGAGAAGTCCAGTGCCTTGAGAATGGCACACTGGGTGGGGGGACTGCTGAATGACAGCCCAGGGGTAGAGCGGGGTCTCCACGTCACTGGTCAGTTTGGGGTACACTTGGCCTTACACCTTCAGGCCTTCGGGCCCCAAGACAAAGGCAGGGCTCCATCTGGACCCCTCAACTTCCATGAGTCAGTTTTCTCATCCATAAAGTAAGTAATATGTGTGGCGAAGGATCCTGTGAGGATTCAATCTTATGCCATCATTATAACAACACTAGGGAGCCCCACCCGTGTGCCAGGCCCTGGGGTAAGGGCTCTGAGCGTATGAGCTGATTTCATGCTCACAGTTACCATATGGAATACATACTATTGTCAGCCCTGTCTTCAAGCTGAGGGCAGTTAGGCAAAAAGAGGTTAGGGAACTGGCCAAGGTCACAGAGCAATGGAGCAGTGCAGGCAGCCGGTATTTGAAACCCAGTGTCCCCGCTCTAAATGCTGATCACATGCATCTCAAAGGGAATAACAAACAGTCTGAGCATCGCCCCCTCGCCAGTTTTACATGTAATAATGTACTGACTGCTCGCAATCACTTTATAAGACAGGCCGCATTGTACAGATGAGAAACTCACAGAGTGAGAGCATGGTGCCCAAGGACACACAGCAGGCATAGAACACGACTGGAAATCCATTCCACATATAAATTCCTCTAATCCTCCCACCAACCCCATGTCATAATGAGGAAAGGCAGGCACAGAGAGATTAACTTTTCCACACTGCAGGGCTGGGATTTGGGAAACACCACCCCACCCCCACCCACAGCCTCCACCCAGTTGGTCTACTGCACCCTCCCTCCTGAATCCAGATGTTTTCCCCTATCTCTAGACATAATTTGTAGTTTTATTATAGTGTTTATTATGGACGTTTTCAAATGTATACCCCGAAAAGTGCCAGAGGAGTCTAATGAGTTCCCATCATCCACCACCCGGCTTAGGAGACCTTCAGCTAGTGGCCCATCCTTTCCCCTGCACCCCCACCCCCCTACCTCTTCTTGTATTATTTGAAAACAAATACCAGAAATCATATCATTTAGTCTGTAAATATTTGCGTCTGGGCCTTTAAGAGATAAGGACCTCAGCCAGGGTCACACCTAAAAAGGTAACACTGATTCTACCACCATCAGACACCTGCGCACTCTTCACATAAATGTCGTGATTTTTCCCTTTACACTTTGTTGGTTTGAATCAGGATCCAAATGAGGTCCAAGCATTATAGGTGGTTGATAAATTTACTTTTTCAGCCTTTTCTAACCTAAATGTTGCATGTCCATCTCCATATTTTTGCTTTTATTTGCAGCTTATTCATTGAAGAAACCGGTTGTTCCCAATGTATGTAAAGGTTCCTAGAGTCTGGATTCTGTCCATCGCACTCCTCGTGGTATTGTTGAACGTGCCTCTCTGTCCTCCGGATTTCCTGTAAATTAGACGCTGGAGGTGTGATGAGAGTCAGGTGTGGTGACGTCTGTGCGGGTCCTTCGCAGAGGGTGCTGTGCATCTGAAAGGAGGCCACACTGTCTGGTCGCTGCTGCCAGTGCAGCAAAGCAGCTCCTGCTGCTCCATCCCAGACCCGTTCATTCTTCAGGTGCCCTGCCAGGGTGTCTGGCCCAGCTTTGATGGCCCACAGCATCCGCCTGCGGACTCTCCCCACCTCTGTCCTTGCTCTAGCCTCTTCCTCCTAAATGGCTTCTTAGCCACTAGCGTTCCTGGGCACTTGGCCACCAGATTGCTGTGCCGGCCACAGTACCACCCATGGATGGGACATAATACGCAGGAGGCAGAGCCCAAACTCCTGAAACTTCCCAATCAGGGGCTGTTGTTGGCAGATGGGAGGCTGGGAGGTCACCACACTGGGAGCCCTGACTCCTCTAACTAAGATAAGAAAATTCTCAACAGTGAAGTCAAGTGTAGCTCAGTGTCAGCTAAAATCCTCTTGTTGTTTAAAAGAGAATTAAATGGGATTGGCCCTGCGAAAATTTCCAGGTGCTTACCTTGTCACAGTCACTTTGAGCTCTGAGACTTTGCCTCCTGAATTTCCACCCCACTCGTGGCTCACCTCCCACACCTGCCCCCTCCCCCCTGCACATCCAGGGGTGGAATTCAGCCCTGTGACCTTGCTTCGTCTCCTCAGACATCTCACTGGCTCCTTTGTGAGCATGGCTGAGTTCCCTTAGGTCTGGGGTCGTGGCTGGGTTTGGAGTCGCCATGAGGCTGAGCCCCTCCCATGCTCCCTGGGCCCCTCCACATCCTCTGGCCCCCCCTGTGCACAGTCCCCCCTCCTCACAGTGCGCTCAGCCCAGTGTGTCTCTGCCGTGACAGGGACCATCTGCTTCCTACGTCACCCCAGCAGCACCGAACCCTGGCAAGGCTGTGACATTCCTGCCCTTCTCTGTTCCCACTCCCACCCAGGCTCTGCGGACAGAAGGGGAAGTGTGGAGAGAGATCCCTCTCCCCTCAGAACTGCATTTTTGTACCGGATCCCTTGGGCAGTCTGGCTAAGCTTTAGGATCCCTCAAAATAATGTGTTTTGGGTTTTTGTTTTTGTTTTTACTGAAAGTCCAAAGATCCCAGGTTTGATCCTGGGGAATCCGCTCTAGCACAAACTGAGACCATTTTTTTTCTGTGCTGGAGGCGCATTGAAACTTCTGGCACTTTGGGACCAGCCTTTTCAAAAACTATGCAAGGGCCTCGTGAGGCATATACTGATTTTTTCTCTCCCCTTAAAGAAGGGTCTCAGTACATGGCTCAGGCTGGTCTCAAACTCTTGTCCTCAAGCAATCCTCCTGCCTCAGCCTCGCAAAGTGCTGGAATTCCAAGTGTGGGCTACCTCACCTGTTGGGGGCTGATTCTGGTGTTAAGCCTTATACTAATCATTCAGTACAGCCTGTAAT